AAATTAAAAGTTACTTTTAGACATCATAAACAAAAATTCTTATATATTTCACTTGACTAAACAAAGCATCTTCAAACCATAAAAAAAATGTACAAATCATTCAAAAAAAATAGAATGTCTAACATAAAAGACAGAGGTATAACCACATTTTCACCTATATTTATCATCCTTTATCAACACTGATAAACAGTTAGACTAAATCATTAGGCCTTAAGCCACAAAGTATATCTTGATGTTTCACCACTAACAAATAATTCTTATAATACTCTTTCTTCGTCAGACTTACTGTCACAGCAAATTTTATAATTAATTAACAGCATTATTGTAAAAAATAATGTCTAAGTAAAGATTATTAAGTTAAAAAAAAATATTAAATTGTCAATAGAAATCATATAACAAATCTAAACCTAAAATTATCACTAAATGATAAATAATTCTTGCTGAGTAACAAAAAATTTAAAAATCAACAACTACTATCTATTCAATTTTAGTGATCTTTCTAGAGCAAATATTTCTGATTAATAGTTTCAATGTTAGTATAACAATGTAGAAGAATAGCCAAACTAGTAAAACTAAGAATGTAATAACATCTAATAAATAATATTGAAAGAAATTAAGCTTTCGACCGGCATTATCCAAATTTGAAATTCTACCGAATTGTGCTGCAAAATTTGTATATTTTACCACTCGTTCTTTTGCTGACATCGGCTTTTTTGCAATTATTTGTGCCAATTGATGAGAAGCTTTAGCATATCTGTTAAAAAAAAAATTGAAATTTACAGGCAATTTTTACAGTTTTTTATCTCAATAGAATGTTCTAATTCTCAGGTTTACAAAATACACTGAATACCAACTGAATTTCTCTACTTTGCCTCTAATAAACCTCTTATTACTAAAATGGTAATGAGGAAAGTAATAAGGACCTGTCATCGTATAATATAGATTTCATAGCTTCAATTAGAGTTTTTGAATTCAAATGATCTTTGTCTAACGTAATACCAATACCACGTTTTTCAGCGATTCGAGCGTTACGCATTTGATCGCCGAACAACGGCACACATAGAACCGGTATTCCAGCATAGATACTTTCAGTTAAACTGTTCAAACCGCCATGTGATATAAATGCTCGTAAATTTCTATGATCTAAACAACTTACTGATTATTTAAAATAAAAAGATATCTTCAAAAAAATTGATCAATTACTATTGCATACAGTTATGAACAACGCTTACTGAGGAGATCATTTTGAGGTACCCAAGGTATTTTGATTACATTTGGTAAATCAGCAGCATAGTGATCATTTTCTTCATATTTCCATATGAATGTTATCTAAAAATTTTACCAGATTTTTTTCTTGTTTATGGTTAAAAAAGATGATAATTTTCTGTTTTTTATTTTTGTCTGATTCATTAGCAGAAAAATTTAATGTCATTAGGGTTTGAAATTCCTACATTTGAAAATTCTTTGAACATTGCAACAAAGGCTTCTTTAGTTTCCGGTCCCATATCGCTGCTTTTTGCAACAGTTCCAAACGATATCAACACTACATTAGGCAAGGCCGAATTCATAATTTTTTCAAATTTCTGAAATAAGAACAATTTTGTACAAATTTTTCATTTTTTTTCCAGAAACGTTGGTCAGCAACATATAACCTATATGCAAAAAAAACTGTAACGAGATAAAACAGCACTTACATCGTCCAAAAGTTTTGGTTTTGATACAGCGATCCCCCCAACATAGACAATTTTTTCAGTCACTGGTCGTGGAAAGTCAAAGTATTCATCAATATTGACAAACACAAAAGATGTTTGAGCAGAATCTTCCTAGATTTTTTTCTTCTTTACAAATATTCAATTAAACATAAAATTTCACTTAACCTTCTGGTACGTGTTTCTGTTTCTGTTTCAGTTATTCAATAAAAAAAATTTTTTTGTCAACAAAAGTTGTAGATCAAAATCAAGTAAACTTTTAAATTGAATATACAGGTGTTAACGAGTATGTGCTTATTCTGACCGAGAAATTCAGCTACTTTTTAATGTTGAAGAATTCTATATTAGATCACATCTCTTTTTAGACAATATATCAATTTTTCTATATTCTGGTGTACCAGAAATTCGAAAAGTTAAAATAAATAGTCAAAAAGTAAATGTTAAAAAATACGGCTACGACAGAGTTAGGCATTGGTACAGTGAAATAAATAAAATTTTTGTCTCATTTTTGCAGATTGTATAATTTTATTTATCTTCAAATATGTTATTTATGTATTCGTTTGATGACTTATCCTTTGTAAATTCAGAAAAAAACTAAAATTTTTGCAACATGTATGAAAAGTTACAGAAAAAAAAAATTAAATTTTAAAATTTTATATCTGAAAAATATGATTTTTAAACTTTTAAGAAACAGTAAACATTTCAGTCAAATATTTTTTGAAAAATTTTAAAAAGTGCAAATCAAGAATTCAGTAAGTCACGGAATTGGTGAGCGAACACTAAAGTAAAATAGCAGATTCCTT